CAAACATATAATTAATTTAATACAGGCAGGACTTGGGAAGAGAAATATTAATTATTTTAGTTAAATTCTTGCACAAGGTTCTTTTAGGCTTCCAAAAAAGTTGTCTCTGAACATCAAAAGGCAGGGATTTAAAATTAATTGTATATCAATATTGGGCAAAAAAATAAAGTAATATACTATATGTTTTTTTTAGAAGACAGGACCTAATATTTCTAACACATTTGTTATGCTAGTTTAGCACATGAAGATATTAACACATCAGCAATAAACTGGAGTTACAGCTCAGGCTGATGGAAAGACCACTTGTTTTGATGATGATTGCTCGGGCAAAGTGATGGATATACGACATTTGGACATCATACATTTCACGGCAATCCATCTAGTAGTTTTAAAGACTGCAAACCTATTGTATTCAGAACAACAGTGGTGGACGGAACAACAGTCCCACTCCAAGAGCCATGCATGCAGACAAAAAAGTTTTGGATGAGTAGACCAAGATAGTCATCAGTTCTTCTGATTCTTGAGTGTGTGTCTCAGTTAGGGTTGGGCGATATGACAAAAAATTGTCATATCAGCCGATATCGATAATTATCACAATAAATATGAAATCATTATTTCTTCAAATTTTTAAAAGGCTGATTTTTGCTCCTGAGTGAAAGTTGTTAATTTTCAGTAAAAATATGTCGCAATAATTATGGTTATCGTTTGATCACCCAGGCCTAGCCTCAGTGTTAGAAAGGGAGTGAAGTTAATGTGAACTTAAATCTATATACCGGAAAGTATAGATTTCCTCATGTGTGCTCTCTGGAGAGAACAAGAGAAAATTGGGTTTATGAGGAAGAGATGAGAAGCGAAATGAAGAGAAAATCATGTTAGGAGAGGGAGACAGACGAGACAAAGGGGTGTGCGAGAGAGGAGACGTTAACAGAGGACAGAGCTCTGTTGGGAATAATTTTGCAGCGAGAGAACGTTTTCCTCTTCCAGGGAATCTTGTGAAACCAAATAACTGTTGACAACAGAATCAGACGCAGACATTTAGCGGGGAAAGACGACAAATGAGCAACAGAGAAGCACAGAGAGCAAATTGAAAACGATATTGTGAGTGTAAATCATCTTGTGATTTTAGGCGTTTTTCCTGCAGTATATTCTTAGCTGCATTAGAAAGAGAGAGAAACAAAGGAGAAGAAGGAAACATATTGCCAACCAAAGGAATGTATTCTGCCTCTGGGTCAGTCAGTGACTCAAATAAATTCATCCTGGAATAATGGCCAAAAATGAAGACAGTTTTTATATTGTACCACATTCCTTTTAATATCCAGTACCGTAGCACAAAGGATCGTGTATGAAAGATTTTGTGAAAATGCTTGAGTTTATTTTATTACATTTTGTCATGTAGGATAACAAGTCTAACGCAGTTAATGTAGGATTGATGGAGTATGAGGGGCCATTAGGGACATTATTCAGAATTATTCAGAATTTCTATACATATACATGTAGGCCTACTTTTTCTCACACATTCACATTGAAAGCAAACTATTCACATACTATACTGAAAACCATGCACATGTGTGGCGTGACACGCTTTTACATACACTACTCGTAAATTCTAGACTCACATACACAACTGAAAAGTGTAATGCTCTTACATAAACAACAGAAAAGATCTTAATTAGACTCACAAATACCAGTGCTAATCTGTCAATGAAAAAATTATGATAAATGAACAAAGACAAGACGTTGAAGAGCTAAAAATAGATATTTGATAATAAAAACTCTGACGACTCAACTCCTGAGTTTTGTTTTTTTTGTTAAAGAGACGAGATGGGAAATGTTGGTGGTGGGCCTTCAGGTAATCAAAATCCATTATATTATACCCCACTGTGTGTCGAATATGTCCCTCAAAATTTAAGCAGGTGATAGGAGAGGTGTGTGTGCGATGCCAGGCAGAGAGCAGGTGCAGCCGGTGTGTGTGTGTGTTTATGTAGGTGTGTGTGTGTAACAGTGCAACAGAGAGAGCATTAGCTGTTGCTACAACAATCGTTCACGAGCTAACAATAGCCTGGCCATCCAATGAAGTGCAGATGAAATATCATACTGACCAATGAAAGGTCAGTAACCTTTGAGGGCAAAGGCTTGCCTTTTAAAATAAATATAATCAACGGTTTAATGGATTCAATCTGTAGCTATTCCATGCTCAAATGTATACCAGGTGTAGTAAATGTAGGCTACTCTTGCAACACTGTGAAAGTATTTACAATACAATTCGTTCATTCAGAGTATGTATTATCATCAGTATGGTGTTGAAGTACTTATAAAGTAATAATAGTGCTGTTATGTGTTCCATATGAGTGTTTACATATGTTAAGCTATTTATTTTACAGCTGCTTTAAAATGTTTGTAAAAAAATGTTGCTTAGGTTTTTAAGTTTGTTCGTGTTTATTAGTATCGTAAAACTGTGAATAAAACCTGTTGCAGGCATATCAATTTGTGATATAGCTACTTGTATTAGGCCAATTGAATTATTTTAGGCAAGGCAAGTTTATTTATATAGCACATTTCAACAACAAGGCTATTCAAAGTGCTTCACACAACATCAAAAGCATCATGACAGAGGGAAAAATATATATATTAAAATGGAAAATTTTCAAATCCCTAAAACAAACAATTCAAAATCACAGAGAAGAACCATTCGGACATTCTTTAGCATTTTAGAAGAGAGAAAATATTTTAACTAAATATGTATGACTTTTAATAGACTAAAAATGTACTTATCTGTTTTTAGTTTTAAAACTGAACTAGAACCTTGAAGGTATAAATGACTCAATCACTTACACACTGAAAATCTCTCGTAAAATGAACACTCAAACTAGTTAAGTGTGCTCATATACACTGTTAAAAATCTCTCATAAAGTATTTTATATAACTTACTAAAAATCATTCACATTTACTGTTAAAAAAAAGTATGAGAGTGTTTCAGTAAAGTGTACAAGAGGAGCATTTCAGTCGAACAGGAAGGTGGTTGAGCAAAGAGCACATTTCAAAATAACGAGAAAGAAGAGAAGAAAGAGTTGACACGTCTGCCCAACTTTAAGTGATGAATAATTTAGTGATTCATTTGAGGTCAACTTGTTAAAAATAGTTGCAGTTTGATGACAATAGAGAGAAATTGTGTCTTAAATTTACCATTCACACATCTCAAAAATTGTCATTTATCATTTCAGGAAAGGGACCTCAAGGGTGGAAGTCATGAAAATGTATGATTAAAATGATGTTGACGAAAATGCAGTTTCAAATATTAAGCAACAAAAATGCATTTGAATTGAAAATAAAAGTGATGAATTAAAGACTTTAAGATAACCACCATTCACTAAATCCAAAAGACTTTTGTTTAGAACGTGCCATCTTTGTTACTTTGACATTCATAAAAAAAAATGTCCTCACACTGACAGACCACAGCAGCCAGATCATTCAGAGCCACCACCCATATGACATAGATTCTAATAATTGATGCATATAAAGCCTTTAAACATTGCAAAAGTACTTGTTACGGGTGAAAAAATAGAACAGGTGATGAGATGGTATGAAAAACGAAGAAATGACGCCCCCTGCACAGCAGTGACGCATGTCTTTGGTTCTTAAATCAAAACTACATGCTGCTTTGAGGTCCTGAAGTTTTTGAAGATTTTGTTTCAGATTTGTGTCACATATAATATAGAGGGATGAAGACCAGAGCCACAGCACTATGGTTACAGCACAAAGACTAAAAACATATTGTACCCTTCTGTTCTGTCCTGTCTCGGCTGTGTTGTGAATGCAGACAGACAGATCCAGAGTGACTGACTGACAGTGAGACATAAAGAGAGGCAGATGGAGGAGAGTCAACAAGCAGAGCAAAACAGACAGATGAGACGTTCAAACAGAAATGAAGAGGAACAGGATTGTGCTCTGATCTAATGATGATGATAACTCAGAGAAAAAAAAGTGTGTCTGTGTGTGTGTGTGTGTGTGTGTGTGTGTGTGCGTGTGTGTGTGTGTGTGTGTGTGTGTGTGTGTGTGTGTGTGTGTGTGTGTGTGTGTGTGTGTGTGTGTCTGTGTGTGTGTGTGTGGACTTCAGCTCAAGTTATCCATCACGTTCTCGATGACACAGTGTGTGTAGGGCAAGACTGCAGTTATGTAACATGACCCCCTGGTGCATTAACTGTCTTAAGGCCTGACAGACAGACAGACAGACAGACAGACAGACAGACAGGCAGGCAGACAGACAGGCAGGCAGGACGACATACATGTACCTCCATTATTGTAAGAGTATAACTGAAGCAAGCACTGCATATTGTGTTACATAACATGTTGCATTTTATTGCTTATTGTAGAAAGGGACGTTCTAACATGGTGGATTGCGTAAAAAGTTAGGATTAAGATTTGTGAATTCCCACATAGCTCAGCCTGAGCTACACACAGGCACCGTCACAACCAAATGAAACCATCAGCTACAAGATTAATAATTAGGAGTAATTCTTACTACATATAACTGGTGTTGAAAAAAGCAGAATGGAGTTGGTGCATGCTTTTCACCACAAAACGCTGCTTACACATGAACAAGATCAGCACAGAGATCGGAGGAACTGCTTTCTCCACAAGGAGCACCTAGAGACGCAAACCTAACATTTCTCACAGGAGCTTTAATGAGCTGTTACTTTACAAATAAAGATATTTGTTAAAAAAAAATTAAGATAAACAAAAGCTCCACAGAGCATTCACTGATAATGTCACTGAAGCTTACGTTTTCTTAAGACACTTTATATACTAATGTGTCATGGTTTATGGGCTAATATTTTGTATATGAAGTGTGTGGTATTATCTACATAATGTCTCTCAGAGTCACAAAAATATCTTTAAAATCAGTCCCAGAACATTTTAATGTAAACGTTAACATTCACACATATTGAAACACACACGCATACACTCAACCCTGACCTTCATCTGTCTCTGTTTCCCTGCAGTCAGCTCCAACCAGAGCCATGGGGAGTACCCAGACTGCCGGAGTGAGAGGGAGTCAGGAGGGGAGGCATCTCTCCTGGTGTCTCCGCTGGTGGTGGCGGGGATTGTTATAGGTCTGGTCCTCTTCCTCTCCTGCATCACCATCATCGTCGGCAGCCTGCGAAAAGACAGTAGACTCCGTAACCCACACCTCCGAGCCAGCTACGGTCAGTCTGCAGCCAAACGTTTGACTTTTAGACCAACTCACACTTAGATTAAAGTTGAAAAAGAGTCAACAGATCATCACCAAGTCTTTTAAAAGGGGGAAAAGTGAAGCAATATTAATTCTTTAGGTTACTTTACAAGAAATGGTTCTCACATGGGGGCTTAACTAAGGAAACACTCCCAACACATTTGGCTTGCTGATATTGGTCTAAAACTCAATACACCCACATACTCATGCACATAACTGGCTTTCAAAATCTCTGGTAGGGTTTTGGTTTTCCATAGACAATGTAAATACATCAGTATTTAGAGTACTAAGCACAGATCAAACAATAGCTTCTGTCGGGGGGTTAAAATAGTACCTAATCTGTTTCCTTTCTTCTCCTCTCTTTTTGGGTCTTTGTAGCATTGATCATCATGTTTGAGGCTTGAATGTTGTTTTCTTTCAAAGACAAGCTTTAAGACTTTTGCCGTTCTACTGGATGTCCCTTGATGACAACGTCAAATTCACACATTGGCATCATTTTCTCTGCGTCTGCAGGTCTGGATGGTTTTTCTTATGGTGGCTCAGTAGGAGAACTGAGATCTACCTGCTTAGAAGATTTCCCACCTGGTTTGGACTTCGATTCGTTCAGAGAGACGCTTTCACAGGTCAACAACCTGTACCCCGACTCTCCTCCACGGTAAGTGTTTTTATTCACCACCAGGTCATGCGCATGATCCAGTTTTTAGAGGAAAAGTTTGACATGTATATTTGTTTCTTGTAGTGACTTCAGCTTTGTTCTGACTGCACAAAAATAAGGACTGATTATTTCATCAGATCTTTAAGACAGAATTAAAGCACTGTGATTTGAGATTCCTCAGGTCTGATGTTCTGCTCCACAACAGACAGATGTTTTTGTTAAGATTTTGGGCTGTTAATGCCTTTGTTTAAGAGGACAGGACATTGGATAGAGTAGGACATTTAGGAGGAGAGAGTGGGGAATTAAATGGAGAAAAGATGCCCATTGAGAAGAGTTGGAGCCGAACATGGGTCTCCTGCTTCTAATACGTCCTCCAGTACAAGACACCCCAACGACAGATTTGTATGCAGAGCTGTGGTCAGAACATTGGCCGTCTACATGAAATAAGTATCCTTCTCTCTAAAAACAATAGTCTTTCTGATTCTGTGTTGTCCTTGATCAACTTTCTAGGAGTATGATTCTTCTGCTCAGCTGCATCAAGCTATCATTTGATGTCATTTCAGTGTGGGACACATTATAGGGGGTGATGCAACAAAAACGCACAAAAATGCCCCGGTATAATGGCCCAGAGCCTCTGAGTGATGCTTTGGATCAAGTTTATTTATTTATTTAAAATAGGGACAGTGCACATTAGTGAACATGAGCATCTTAATATGCCAGATTGCAGTCATAGGCTAATCTCCATCTGTAGTCCCTTGGCAGGTTGGGGGTGCACAATGTACACATTTACATAACCACAATGAGAAGCAATAACCAAACAACAAGTCATGACCAAACAACAACATAAACTGTACATTAGTTGACAGACACGCATGTATACAAGCATAAAAAGTGGCTCTGGGATGTTATTCAAGACAAACCAGAATAAAGTGACCTTCAGAGTTAAAGTGCTTCTACGGGAGGTGAAGTGCCAGTGTATTAAGGTTGCATAAATGATTATTTGGATGGTTTCTTGCAGTCAAGTTTTTTTTTTAACAAGTCTTAATACACTTTGGGCATGCCAAAGAATTTGGATTGGCAATCTAAGCTTCCTGAGAGCATCCGAAGGCTAAGTTAATCAACTGTCTGATGATCTCATTTTAGATGTCTGGCATTATGATATTGGTGGACTCAATGAGCTGTGCAATTAGTACATACTGTAAATGTCAACCTTGCATTTAAGCATTTTTACTAAGGTATTTTGGTGCTGGACAAGAACCTATATATTCTGGAGACATCTGAGCTCAAATCAGAAACTCTTTCTTTATTCTTGCCCACTACAATATGTCCAAGTAGACCACTCCTCCTTTTACCAATTATATCAAATGTCAATAAAAAAGTCCACCTGACTGTTCAGCCCTCAGCCCCCACTGCTCTCAATACAGCTGGTTTGACCCTTCCTCTGATGTAATTCATTTATTAAGGAGTACTGCTAGGTTTGGTGCCCTTTGTAATGGTGCAAGAACGAGTGTTTGTGCGTCTTGTGTGTATGTTTGTTGGAGAGAGTGTATGTGCGTGAGTAATTGTGTGTGTGTGTGTGTGTGTGTGTGTGTGTGTGTGTGTGTGTGTGTGTGTGTGTGTGTGTGTGTGTGTGTGTGTGTGTGTGTGTGTGTGTGTGTGTGTGTGTGTGTTTGAGAGAGGGGGAGAATGGAAGAAAGAGCTTTCTAAAGGCCAATGTCATGGTGTTTTTGATCTAAATGTCAGCTGATCTAATTGGCAACTTTAATAATTCACATACATCCCTCCCTTGCAGTGTGTGTGTGTGAGTGTGTGTGTGTGTGTGTGTGTGTGTGTGTGTGTGTGTGTGTGTGTGTTCATCATTCTCCTCCTTTCACTGCCTTAGAAACATTCAATCATTTAATCCAAATTCATCTACGGGATGTAGGATATCTCTTCTATTCCAAAAAGAGATCATAATTGACTAAAGCCATTGTCTGACTTTCTAATACGCCTCCATGACTTTCAACATTATCATTATTTCCCCTCAGTAAATTTCTTTTGGGATGTTTTCTCACTCTGTCATCCTTTCCTGTTCTTTGTTCTCAGCGGCCCCTTTTCCCCGAAAGTGCCGTCACTAAGCTCAGCCATCGTCACATCGTCGTACGTTCATATTGGTACAGCAACGGCGTAATAGCGGTGTTCCAGTCTGTGAATTCTTGTTGCGTTTCGGGCGGCGTATAGCGGAAGCACGGCACAGCGAGAACTCCAGATAGCCAGTCAGACATGCACGCACACACAGCGCTGTGCTCGCCTGCTGGCTCAGCTGAAACCGTCTCGCCTCTGTCACTACCTCTGAAGACGGTATAGAGGGGTGATTGGTCCCCCCCTTTACGCCTCCCGGACATAAATCCTGCTGCCTAAAATGGCATTCGAAATAAGACTATTGTTAAATTCACCAGTAGAACCCTTTTGTTTGAAATATTTCAAAGTTTTGATTATTATATTTCATCATCTTGCCGCTTTGATACCCCCAAAGTTTCAATTATCATCGCTATGGGAAAAGACAACAGTTTTATTTCTGTCTGTTCACAACAATTACTTCAATATTAGGACTTGTTTGTGTCATAGTAATTGAAAGCTGGTTGTTCTCTTACTCTATTTATGTGACAGGATACAACAGTTAATATTTTGTAACTGATTACTCATGCCAAGTTTCATCATCATCTAAGCCGTCATACAAGTAACCAACTGCTAATCACATATGCTCGACGGTTTTTCTTTTCTACACAGATCATGTTCTTTAAAGCCTCCATGGATTCACAAGTGCTGAAAACGCTCCACTTGGATTCTAATTCGTGTCGACTCTCTACTGTTGCATGTTCACATCCATCATGTTGAACCTGAGGCATTAAGGGTGGCGCTGGGGCTGTGGTCTGGGGACCAAACCAAAGCTCCTGTCATGTTCTTGGTGCTGTTTTGTAACGCAGACAAAGTGCATTAGCTGGAAAGATAAATCTTCTGTGGATGGATACAACTGGTCAGCAGCAGGGTCTAGGTGCTGCAGGGCGTAATGCGGGCCAAGAAAATGTCCAGTTTCGCCATTACAGCTCCCACAAGAGCTCTGATGAATCCATTCATAATGTTTGTCCTCTCTTGAACCGATGCAGCAGAAATGTGAGACAGGGTAACAGTAAGCGCACAACAACAACAGGAGGAAGGAAAAGGGAAGAAAGGAGAACAGAGCTAGCCAGATACGTCAGCGCTCTGGCAGCGAGGCGTTGTGTTCTGGGCAAGCTTTGTGTGAGCCGGACGGCAGCCAACACATACACGGTCAGACAGCATAAGTGCAGATATGCATATACAAATTGTGCATTTTGTTTACCATGATGCTGGTAAGACATTGTTTTTGACACCGTCAGCTAGCAGGTAGTTGCAGTCATGTGATGATCCTGCAGGGTGCGAGTGTGTGGGCCACAGATGGTCCAGGGAAACTCAGGGAACTCAGATCAACAGCTCACCTACTGAGACTGTGAAGGCAATGCTTTGGACACACACACACACACACACACACACACACACACACACACACCATCATTTTTTTCTCTCTTGCTGAAAGACTCACACACAAGGATCAGCATTTCACCTGTGGAGACGGAAAGCTTCTGCTTCCTCTCAGGGAGAGGCTGGGCAGGCTTTACCACACAAACACACACACACTCACATTGATACATATGCACACGCACACTCACACACACAAATTGCTTTGTGATATGTTGCAAAGTAATAGGGGGAGCAGGGAGAGGTAAACTGTTGCCCTCAGTTCAGAAAGATGCTTTTTAAATAATCTGGCTTAGAAATTATGATGGCATTTTACTCAAGATGATTTAAAGTCAAAATAAAGAAGACTTAGGCCACTTGGATGGCAAACCAAACTTTAAAATAGTTTGGTTTGCATACATTTAGTTTGGTTAGCATACATTTTGTGCTGTACAGATAGATATCGTTGATTAATTAGAACTTGTTGGCCAAAAAGGTCATAATGTCTGATGAACACACAGAAAGCTCAACAGGAAGCGGAGAGTGAAGAAAAAAAGCTAAGTTGGAAGTAAACTAATTAAACTATCTGAACTATTGTATTATCCTCAGTTTTTAGGAACTTCTACCTAATTACATAGTTATATGTGACCATTCATTGTTGTTTTTATTTCTACTGTACATACTTTATTTTAAATCTTTTAAATAGAAAGAAGCATGATATAAATGAAATACTTTATCAAGTCTTATAATAATGTAATTACTTGAGATGAAGGTTTTGTTTTCCTCTGTCTCTATGAGTGCAGTATAAACATAATGGACAATAAGAGACTTAGGTGGGGGGGGCTTCTTTGTCATACAGCTGATTGTGATTACATTTGTTTTTGCTTGTCAGTATACACAATATAAGAAGGATACATCCTTCAAAATATGTACACAGATATCTAAAAATTATATACCTTCTCATTTGCCTCATAGACTGATATGTGAAGATTAATGAGCTTGTATGCTTAGTGTTGTTGACTAAGACAGGGAGAGTTTGGCAAGTCAGGCTGTCTCATCACATTTTTTTTAACTCTGAGTCAGGAAATGTAAAAGCTTAGGAAAAAATGCTAACACCCGACAGCAAGGACAAGGACTTTACAAGTTGAACAAGTACAAGTGAGAGAGTAGAGAGAGAGAGAGAGAGAGAGAGAGAGAGAGAGAGAGAGAGAGAGGGAGTGAGAGAAAAAGTGAGAGAGTGCAATGGATTCTTAATGATCAAATCTCAGGAACACTGTTCTGTACTGTCCAATTCTAATGTGAAACCTTAAATCACAAACATGGGACAAAGAGACGGGGAGACAAATGGATCAATAGAATATATTCACAATACAGAAATACAGAAAAGGGAGATACAATTTACCAGTTTTGCAACCTTCTAAATCTAACTCTTTATATGCTGACAAATCATATCTGCTTTGGCACGATACACACACACCTGTGCATGCAGCATCTATATGGTTCTCTAACTCCACAGGCAGGTATACTTCACAGTGGTACAGGGACACGCCAGCTTTGTACAAGCTCACACTCACACACAGGGACCATATGGTCCATGCTGAAGCTACAGTTGTCCAGAGTCCAGCTCTGTAGAGCGTCACAACCCGCTCATGAACACTTGCCAGAGGTCCTCCCTTTCTCCTGACCTGCATCTGACTGAGACTTCTTTCTCTGTCCTGAAAAAATATCTGTACTTTAGTCACAATACGGAGATTTTATCCTGCACAATTAGATAAATTGGTTGAAAACAAATACATACAATACATAAAAGCTAATACCACCAAATAGTTTGATTATTAAGGCCTTCTAATCCTGCTTACATTCACATTTCAACAAAAAATCCCCCCCATCAATGACAGGCATCACTGGCAACAACGGCCAGTCAGAGGGTCAGTCTATCAAACTAATACAGGTATAGGCTTCATAATATATTGCCTACCATCAGGCAGCAGCAAAGTATACATAGCAGTCAGCTGGGGCTCAAACTCCTTTCTCAAACAATTAACCACAAGGTCACCCTCCCTATAAAAAAATAACTTAACAAATAATGACAACCACAAAACCCACATCGCCTACTTCTCAGTCGCTTGTAGTCACTAATTGACAGCCAGTACACAATTTATGGTCCAGAGTAAAGCCTGTTTTTTCTGCCACCTCTTTGCAACCGGAGTCGGACACACACCGGCGTTACCTTGAATTCTGGCGGTGCACCAGTGTAGAGAAGATGGTAGCGAGCTCTGCTTAGGTAGCCTACGAAAGGAGGATATTTGCCGAGATTAATCTGTTCTCAGAGACAGACAGATAAAGAAATTAGCTGACTTTTTACCTTCTACCATGAGCTGGTGGACTAGACTGACACACGGTTGGGCTGCACTGTGCACACTCCTTCTGTGCGAGTCAGCGGTGAGTTTGCGCCATATTATTTGAAAATCTGAGCTCTTCATCCAATGAGGTTTGTTGTGTGACACACTGGGGAGGTGTGTGCTTAAAGGAGCTTAAATGTTCTGCAAAAGTCATATTCAGGCTACTTTGTGCACCAAAACAAGTTGATGAAGTTAATACAAAAAGTGTTGTAGGATAAAGCCACAATGCCAGCTATAGGGTATTTCAATCATTTACATGCCAAAGTATATCTAACTGTTGTTTAATTTTATTCAACAATGATGGGCATATTTTAAGGCTGTAAATTATCTGGAGGAGTCTCTGTTTGCCTGCCAACACCATAGGCAATTATTTAGGCCTATTGCCTATAAGCTAACCTTACAAAATCAGCATCTGTCATGATGGAATTAAATCATACCTTCTGAAAGGAGGAAACGCAAACCACAAATACTTAACTGACTTTCTGAACGTTTTATGTGATGATGTCAGAGTGACAGGTAAGAGTGTGGATGATTTACACCCGAGGAGAATTTGTTGAAATACAATATGTATATTGGCTAAACCGAAGCCACTGAAAGGCTGTGTATAGATGATGTGATTGCATTAGCATTGCTGACTGTAAAAAAAAAGTCACCAATTTCACCATCAATTTCATCTCAATGACCTGATGTGCCAAGGCCTTACATTGCAGTTGCAAGCCCTATAGTTGTCCTCCTCACCTGTCTTCAGGGCGATGGTTTCTGCCCGTACTGGCAGCAACCCACAGTACATAGCTGACACCTAGAAGACTCATGATACACAGTCTTAACTGTAGAAACATCCCTATAAGTTATTTGCTTATAATTAATGAACTATTTTGTATCACTTCCCCTCTAAAGTCTTTTGGACATCCCTATGTAACCAGAACGGAAATCTGCCATTCATACAACTTGACCTGACCTACACATTTCTCCCATCATATTTCCTGTGGACAGAGCTTACTACTAGAGGGCAATGTGTAGCTATGAGCATAATTCTGCTGCTTATGATTTTGTTTCAAAATAAAACAATAGTGGTCAATAAATATTTATGAAAATTACTAAATGTAGGGCATTCTTCTTAGCATTGTGCAGTAAGGGGAAAAATAATCACTCAAAAATCTAATCAATAATTCACTCAATTAATCATTAAAACTTATTCAATGTAGAAGGTGGGTTGTCAGTTCAACATAAACCACAAGGTTGTTCAGAACAATAATTATCTCAGACAAAAACAGCAGGGAATCAATTAATGATTGCCCTGATGTGAATAACTAACTTACATATTTTATTCACAATAAAAACATGACATTTTCAAAAACACAGAGGGTCAAACAAAGGGAGGCAGTTGCACAACTCCCAGCATGTGTGCCATAGGGGACAAATTGTTTTCACTCAGGCACACCAGGTAACACTGGAACATAAAAGCAGAAAACACAAAAGTGTAAAACACCATATTCATTATCTGGTGTGCTGTTTTTTTATTTTCTTTCAGAAACACAGTAGAAGGCCACAGGGGAGCGGTGGAGCTTATAACTCCTGAGAGACCAAATAGGGACTTACAGAGTGTTACAACACCTCTGAAAACACCCTCGTTCAACCAAGCACACACTTACCCTGTCTCCAATTTTCACCTCAACATGCCGCAGCATGAATGTTTAAGGTCAGGTTAACCCAAAGCTAAATCAAATGATTAGAATAAAATTGAATCTACCTCCACTCCATTGGTACAAACATGATGGTTTATGAGGATGTTGTGTAGAGAGTGTATGTACAAATTCAGATGTTACAATATAAAATTGTACTATATTAATTCTTAAAGTAGTGAACATTACCATACTCAAGGTTATTACGTTGTACTGAATATTCTTTTTGTGCAACACAAATAATCTCCTGCACTCTCTTTACTTTGTAGATCAGTTTCTTTATAATATTGGCATTCATCTGTCCCAGTGCTGTTGTACTCTATCAGCACTCATGGGATGAATATTGTTCAATCAGATTGCTTGTTCAAAACTAACAGTTGTATAAAAACTGATAGCAGTACACTTAACTGTCAAATCACATTCAAAGCTGATTGTCCCAGCCTTCCGTCAACCACCCGCTGGTCTTCATGTAGTCCTGTTATTGCCGTGCCTGAGTCTTGTCTCCGAATCAAGGCTAAAATAGCTCTCCTCTTTTGCTGGAAAGCGCAGACACATACTCAAAAATCTCTAGCACTGCTTTAAAATAGCTGGCAAGTGGGCACAAAATCACAGAGGGTACAGAAGGAAACAGAGAGTGAACAGGAACAAAAAGAAAGATAAATGAAAAATTTGACAGCTTGAAAAAAAGAGAAGCATTCAGTGCTGTGGTACCAGACTGACAACAGTGCTGATTGAGTGAAATGGATTTACCGCATCCTATATCCTCAAACACATGTATGAAGAGATTAGATCATTGTGTTTTCTTTTTGAATATATTCAATTAAAATGTTATTTTCTTTGTGTGGCTGGGGGAGTAGATAGAAAAAAAAAGACCTCTGTGGCTGATGTGGGAGTTCATCAGGGAAGTGTTTTGGGACTCTGCCAAAACAGCAGGAAGAAGGCAGGAGGCGTTCAGTGTTTAAGAATGGAAACAGACAGGCTGTGGCATTGATACGTTCTTACAGGGATAGACTTCATGTTGATGGTGAAAAACAGCTTAATATTTAGTTTCCAAGAAAAAATTGCCAATGAAACACCAAGGCCGAACTGCGAAGGTTCAAGGCTATTGATTTTTGTTTTGGAAAGCACAAGCCACAGCAAAATCGGTGATAACTATTTCAGGCAATATATACTGTATAATATATATATAATATTTTTGTTGTTTAACTTGAGCTATGAAATATGGGTCTGTCACGTTCATGTTTATGTGGAGCCAGAAAGATGAAAATATCTTCTTAAACTTGCTTGGCTTGTGTTACTGTGACACAAAATCGTGCTTGTAGCCATGCCAGAAAGTAGTTTGGCTGGTTCTCTCGTTGCCACCATACTAATTATTGGGTTTTTGTTTTCATGTCCATAGTTACGATGAGTGTGTTGGCCAAGGTTCAACCCCGATCTACATACCTACAGATGACCCACCCCCTTACTCCCTATTGGACCCTTGTCAGAGAGGGCCAGAGCAGGAAGAGCAGCCTAACTTCAACAGTCTGGATCCTTCTCCGTTCTATGGTGAGACCTCAGCCAGCGCCGCCTGGTTCTCCCCCTCCCACTACCCGCCAGGATTCCCTCAGGAGGAGCATCAAGGCATCGCATCCATCTCATTCCCTCTGGAAGCAGCACCGCCTTATGAGTCGGTGCTGGCTGAGCAAGGACAACCCCTCCCTCTCATGCCATGTGACCTTTATAAACACCAATCAGAGGGTGGGGATGAAGGCAACTCCCAGCAACCAGGGACAAACCAGATCTTGTAGGACTGTTAATTTGTTTCTTTCGCCTGCGCCATTGGATTTCCCCAGTTGAATTAAAGAATCACTTGTGATGTGGGACACAAAATGGCTGTTAGGAGCAGCTGTGACATTAAAACAACGGACAATTAATAAGATGAAAGCATCTTATCCATACAGTTTCTAACATCTCAGTGGATTTTAAAGCAGCCAGGACTCCAGTTTTCAACTATTTACCCACAGTCGTTTTCCTTGACAGAAACATAAAATACTCACTGATTGTCTTGCACTGTAACGTTTCTGGAATGACGTATTATTTTCTTGTTGTTCCAAATGATACTCCATAAGAAGAAGACTTTCTTCTGTTCAGTAATAACACCACTGTCTGGTTAATTTTTTGACTGTTAATCTCTTGTTCTATAATTCATGTGTCATATTTTGAGTTAAGGACTTAGTTACTGCTACAAAAACATTCTCTAGAGTCTTCATACTGTAGATGACAGCAGAAAGACAGGGTTTAATATCAACGTGATGTAAAGTAGTGTAGTTAAAGGTATACGCAAGCACACAGATTGAACCTTATTTTCAGTCTCTGTTGTGTGTCATGTAGCTTCCAGTGTGGGGAAAGTCTCCCAATGGTTACAAGGGTGACTTTCTGATTTCAACAATTTAAACAAATATAGAAACTACCTGGACAGGAACAGTAAAATATCAACTCTCCAACTGTTCCAGTTACATTTGTTGTACATGTGGCATCATCAGAGAGGTCGTTTTTTTTGTCCACTGTTGTACAATTTGCCATCACTTTTTCTCTAAAGGGCTCTGGTTTTAACATCAGTTCTATAACTGGACCCAAGCAGCAAACTGTAGCTCCAAACTCTCTTCCTGATGTTGAGGGGTGGTTGGTGGGTGGGGGTTGGGGGTTGGGGGGGGGGGGGGGGGTTGATGCAACAAAGAATTTACACATGAAACTGTAGACCTAAACGCACTGTTCACTGGGGGAATGGTTGTTCTGCCTTTAAAAAAAATCTTGTTTCACTCTCATCAAAAATTAGCCAAGCTTAAGACATCATGGAGGTCTTATTGCACTAGAGCTGTAAAACATCTTCTCGGTTAAGTGGTGTAACTTATTGTGTTAGATCAATAACATTATCATCACATTGCTTATAAGGACAGATCACTTCTTAGTTTCTTTAGCCTCTACAAGATGACGTGTGTTCATGTTCAAACCATGTTAACAGCATGACCGGAATAATGATGTCAATTGTTTTTCAGTTTTGATGACGGTTATTTTCTAAATTATTTTTAATCTTCTGATAATTCCCTAAACTAAAGAATCAATCATTTGATTAATGAAATGTAAGAAGATACTTTAAATGCCCATCAAATTGTGTTGAAGCTGAGTGACAACTTAAGGTTTCAGGGTGTTTATTGTCTGACCAGTCCAGATTCTCAGATGTTAATTTCACTTTTACAAGACAAAAAGGATTTCAATAGAAAGACGAAGACGATTTGGAGCATTGATAGAACAGTGGGCCGACCGACTGTCTGTCTTTCTAATACTTGAAGGAGCAAATCCTGTCATTAAAACACAAAGCTTTAGTTCAAACACAAGAATTTGACAGTTATTTAATTTAAATGAAAGAGACAGCTTAGACACAATTGATGATGAGCACAGTGATTTATTTTCCACATAGGGAGTAGTATGATGGGCCTGCATTGAGGAGTCTTTTGCAGCTTCCAGTCCCGTCTCAGTCAACCATGGACCTTTTTATAAATCATATCTTAATCTCTTCCAGACATTCTTCAAGCAGTTGGTGTTACCTAACCTTAACTCTATAGGTTTACCATGGTTTTTAATTTTGTGCATAAATGTCTGACACGTATAAAAACATGTTTCAGGAGGCATTGAGTTGTGCCCATAATACAGAAACCAGCTTATTTCTGCTTTGGTGCCTAAGAGCAAAAAACAAACACTATGGCCATCAAAAATCCTGTTACATTGCTCCCGAAAAAACTGCTCTCAGTATTTTATATCATTTAACAGAATTGTGACAAAATCCTAGAAAAAGTGTTTGATCATTAGTTGTTTGCGAAGGGTACAGCAGAGTTATTCTAGAGACCTGTAGGGGAAAAAACATCACAATCTATCAGCAGTTATTACAAGCATTTGAGGCTGAGCTTTAATAACTGTGCAAATATTACATATAGGCATCAGAATGCAAACATTCATCAAAAATGTGTAGTCGTATTTTTGTTTTGTTTATTTCAGAATGGTCCTTGTGTGATATGTGTGTGTTAAAGATGTGCCTAATATCCCTCAGACTGTTAGTTTGAACATTGTAGCCATAATATAATGATATTAATGCAAATAATCCAGTGCTTTGCACTGTTACATGTTCGGTTCTGTCAAGTTGGGTTTTAATGACGTGGTGTAAGGACGATCTTAGCACTGAATCCATGTTTAATAACGTAAGAACAGATTCCATGAATAGGACAGATGAGCTTATCAGATGTGTGTTGTTGCTGTGTTATTCACACCCTTTGTTTTGTCTTTCTTTCTGTGAACTGATGAACATTCGGTATTATGAGTTGGTTAATTCAAACACAACATGTTAAATACTCTTGTAGTTGTATTTTGTGTTTTGACTTTGCTCTCTCTCTATCTCTCTCTCTCTCTCTCTCTCTCTCTCTCTCTCTCTCTCTCTAGCATCCTGCAAAGTTCAGGTTTTTTTTTTTTTTAAATGGCTCATTTTATAAAGAGTCACAGATCCATCTGCTACCATTGTTGTAAAAACAAGTGTTAGTAGTTTTAAAAGCAAGTACAATCCAACAGTAATCCTACATTATACCTGAAATTCCTCCCCTGAAGAATCTTTACAGGTGAAACAATCCTTAGAGAACTGGAAGTCTTTCCTAAGCAGGTTTTGCCTTCTGTCATTGAAGTATAATTTAATACAGTAAGAGTTGTTTTTTACTTTACTACACTTAAACACATCCATTAATACATTGTTTCCAAAGACAATGCATTTTATTTTTTATATTTCTCAACTAATTAATTCCAGTTTTTTTCCCCACTTGATTCCAGATTCAATGAGGAAAATTCATGTTGACTGTTTAAGAGACTCCTTTCAGGCATTCATTGTTTCAAAAAAAGCCCCATGAATTGGTGTGTTGCTCGTACAGTGTGTACACAAATTCCGCTTGATGTTTGTTGAAAATTTCATCCCAGCCCACCAATAATGTAAGAATGAACTCAACACAGAAAACAATCCTCTGGGGGGGTGTTAAATTTGAAAATGTGTGGGCCTGGATTCTGAATAGTTACATCACCTTGGTCTTCTTTGCAGTTCTTGTGTAAAGTGATAATTAGCTGATGGCTTTATTAGACTAGATGAAAGGTACAATAAAGTTAATAAAGGATATCAGTATTAGGATTTGTTCATTAAAAACACTACCTGAGGTTGTTTTGATTACTCCAGTCCAACACATCCATTTCCTTTTCTTCAGCTATTCCATAGCTCTGTTTTGTGTGTGTGCATTCTGTGTTAGTAAATGGAATGTAAATGTCTTACATGTGTATCACTTTCCATTTCTCCTCTCTTTCATTGTTTGAGTTGCAAAACCAACAGACTTCATGTATATATATTAGGAACTCTGGGCAACATGTTTCTTTATGTTCTGTATTTGAGGTTTTGTTCCAATATTTTCTTCTGTAGAGAAGAATGAATAAATCTGAACTCTTATACCCTCTGAGTGGCTGGATTTGAGAACTGGAGACACACAGCAGCAAACAACACTACGTCCTGGGGAACAAAATGTTGACGTTTTATGTTAGTCTCTCAAATAAATAGAGCTTTATTTAGGCACAAATATCTGTTTTTAATTTCAGTAATGAAAAGGTTAAAGGAAGAATGTGCAACATTTTAAACATAAATACAGAAGAAATCAAGTATCTCCTCTGTAAATAACTCTGTAAAACCCTTTTCACACATACGGAAATCTCCTGAAAAACTACGGAGATTTGGCTACCCGGAGGAAAGTCCGAGTGAGCTGATGTCTGAACGCGGCAGCATATACTCCGGAGATTTCAATTCGAGCCATTGGGACCTGAGTGACGTTTATATACAGTGACTGCCCAAAGTGTCTGCATGCGACCACTACGATCTCTTTTGTGAGTGTTGTCATACCATTGGATTACATATAGCATTGATTTAAAGGCAAATATTCTCATTAGAGCGTCGTGTAGCGGACTCTGTTGCTACCGCTGCGTACTTCTGCGTTGTTTTTTACGTCACGTCTTACTTCGGGAAATCCCCCGAGCCCCCTCCCCTCTGACAGGGATAGTCTCCAGCTGTGAGGGAGCATATGTGAACGGCTAGGTCGGGAGAATCTCTGAAGAAGTCCTCCTGTAAATATCTAGATATTTGCCGGAGTGCATATGTGAAAACGGCTTATGTCATGACTGTAATGAATGTGAAGCCTGAGTCTCGCCAGCTGTAATGTTGTCAGGCCATGTTTACATCATGTTTATATGGACAGGATGGCCTTGCGTATAAAGCTGTTTCAGTCAAGGACAAGAGAAAAGAAGAAAAGTCTATTCACTGCGTCTGTGTCAAATTATATGCAATATGAAGCTATGAGTTAACCAACGTGTGCTAACATTAGCCTGCTAACACTACAATGCAGGCAACAGGCAATTGCAGCTTGAGCAAAGGACAATTTTGGACTTAAGGGTGTTGAGTTATGGTGAGTTCTAATTCATAACCCATTTGTGCAACTCCAGTGGAGAGGGGTTGGAGGTGTGCGGCTGGACGAGAGAGGAGGCGAGGCTTCAGAATAGCAGAGGTGTCACCAAGCTGCAGTTTGATGCTGGTGCTCAAGGGTGACATCTACTGGATGAAAAAGTTGCACATTCTTCCCTAAAAGATAAAATAAGTAAATAAAACATTTGATTTTTCATTATCTGTAGTTTAGACAGTTTAGTTCTTTAGCCAGTCACAGGAATCTTTTATGTGTACTTTGGTACAATCTGGTTTTTATTTTAATTTCTTGAGACTTGTTTCAACATGCAAAACCAACATTTTTTGTCATGTTCATTTCATTTTCACACTCGCAGTCCACAAGGGCAAATGATGGTGAAATCACACACATGTAATGTCCATGAAAGCTTGATTTTCAGCTTCTTACCTCTTATCCAGTGATAGTTTACCACCAATATAACATACCACACACAAATGATCTAAAGCCTCCACACCTCTGTGTGTTATGTGTTTTGGCAGGGAAATAATGATTGTGAGAGCTTTAGGGGGTTAGCAGTAGAAATGTTATTCATAGACTGATACAGCAAAATAAAGATTAGACTGCTACAGAAGAACAAGATTTAAATACATGTGTGTTTTATGTGTTTAATTGAAATGTTCGTTTTCAAGAACTACTTGGCATAACAAATGTAGTATCATCCAAAAATCGACAAAAGTCACTGTCCAAATCAATGTCTATTCAAAAATAATCTGTAGATTAAGATCATACTCATGCTGGAAAACACCTAAGTGGTAATAACAGTATCACCGGAATGTCATTATTGAAATATACATCATTTTACTTTTTTTTAAGTACAGAAAAATAAAGTCTTGACCGCCATATTATTAATATGATACATTCATCATAAAATCACCTGGTGGGAGGGCCTGTAGGGGAGGCTCAGTAGTGTGCTTCATTTTGTTACCTGGGTAAACTTCGGTAGAGAGAAATGAACCAGTGACTCATGTATGGATTTATGATGAGCTTGCTTTTTTCTTCAACCATGACATTGTAGAGAGAAGAATGCAAATCCAATAAACCGTCTTTTTACTTGAGGGCTTCCTTTGTACCTTTCATAAAGTGCACAATGTCACTTCAAATGACATTGAAGCTTCACTTTGTTCTGTAGGCTACAACCTTTTGTTACCTGCACCCATTCGCCTGAAGCTAGAATTACACCAAGAAAACTGTTCTGTGCAGCTAAAAAAGCCAGTGTCAAGTGTTACCTAATGCTCTATATGACTACAGCTTCTATATTCACACATATTACATCATTTGCAGAGGAGAAGATCTTGAAGGAATGATAAGGCTGAACTATTGAACACGCTGACTCAGCGCAATTCTGTGTATGTTTTAAATGTCATCATTTTTCTTTTGAGGCTGCAAGGGAGAAATCCCAAATGCAGACAACCAAAAAAAAAGAAACAATTCAGTGGCTCAACTATCCCTGCACGTGCTCCTCAAATTATACCAGTAAACAGTTATTGTTCCAACTTCAGTGCTTTTATTTGCTTTATAGGATGTAATATTAAAACAACATGGATGTTAGAAAAAAACATGTGTTGTGTGTTATTGCTTTGAAGTAATCTAAATCTCTCGGAAACTAATTGTTACAATTTAAAATACTTTATTACTAATGATTCATTTCTATAAAGAGATTATTCAATACATGCTAAATCTGCAGACAGGGACATGTCTCAAATGTTTTCAGTTCTGTTTACAGTTTGAGTAATGCACTGGTGTTTTAGAGGACATTGGCTTCAGTAATGATAATATAAAGAATATTATTATTTTACTTTTTCATATGGTTACTTCTACAATTCAACAGACTCTGACTTCAACTAAGAGCTGCGGTATTCTCCTAAACTAAATGCAAAACCCTTTTAAGCTTGGAGACACTAAAGCTCTGTATTAGTTCCTAAAAACATGTTGCATGTACTTTTGACTACAATTAGTTCTTTAACTAATACTAAAACTGAGTATCCTCTTGTGGAAAATGAACGGGCAGATTGTGCTCCTGCTCTTTGCTCTTGTAGTCAGGCTTAACACGATGCCAATAAATTCCCGTGGGGAGGAGGATGATGATGAAGGTATTTATGTGGATAATTCAACCATCTCGTCCACTGATCCATCAAAACTCAACGATGACTCCCAAGAAGATGATCCTTTGTCACAAGACGAGGACTCACCAGAAGATGAATCCTCTTCACAAGACGATGGCTCCACCGATGATGAAACATTGATGGATGATGACCCCAATGTAGATGATCCCTCTTCACAAGATGATGATTCCCCAATCCACAAAGAGAAGGACCCCAAGAAGAGGAACCCTCTGCACTCGATGAGGACTCTGCAGCAGATGACCCCTTGACAATCAGCGATGCAGGGTCAGCAGGTGATTAAATCTCTGAGTACTTAACAGATGAAACTTAAGAACTTAACAATAGTTTCATGTTTTATTTCTATATGTCAAACCAGTTTCTTAAAATTGTGTCCAGACACAGTCTCTCCTTTTGTCTCTGTGCAAATATTCCATCAAGAGTTCAATGCTTTGAAGCAGGATTTGCTGAAAATGGATTTGCTTGGATTTCAGTTCTAAAGGGGTGGATAGGGTGGATACATTTTTAGGGTACATGACTATGGTGGCATATCATGCACACCTAGCCAGCTCTGGAGCAGGTTATTTTTTGAGTGATGAATCAAACAGTGCAACAGCAACAATGCCAAATGACCATTCAGTACTCTTGAATCCTGAGCTACAAATCTGAGGAGAAGCAGAACATGTGATTTCCAAGATTTCTCTCAACTACGTTATGACTAAATGTCTAATTATTATTATTTTTTTTGGTGGTCGGGGGGGGGGGTACTCATTTGCATTTGAAGGCGGACAGTTTTGGCTGCCTGTCTAACCATTATCTTAACAATGATATAGGCCCAATTACAACAACCCTCTGAAATATGTGCCTAAAAAGCAAAAGTTTGTGATTTTTTTTAACTGTCATTATTTTCTTGTGCAGGAGATGATCACGGTCCTTGAGGCGAGGAAAAACAGCTCTTAAAACTGCCCGTCTATCCCCCTCTAATCAACACTTATACTATAAATACATGTCCTTGTGTTGAGTATGTTCTAATTTATACATATGAAGAGGATAAAGAGTGTTCAGTTTCAAAAGGGAAACAGAATGTGCTTTGTTAGATCATTTATACTATGTAACATTATCATAACATAATGTATGTTGTTATGTACTGTGGTTAAAATGATCTCCAACTCAAACCCTTTTTAGTAATAGTGGCCAGGAGACAGGGTCTATTGAGGCTACTTTGACTTTAAGTTTTTTATTGTTGCTTTTATAAAAGCACATTTCTGAAAGTTGAGCTTTTAAAAGATTACTTTTATACTTGTTATTGTTTCTCTTATTTAGGCCTAAATGCAAATGTCTAAATGCCTCCATTGCCCTTGTGTATAAACTTAATATGACTGGGGTCTTCCCTCTGATGTCACAACCACATATAATTTTGTGTGGAGATGATTTTTAACTTTGTTTCATCTTATTGCTTAACAACAAAAACATACCAAGGATGCATAAAATGTATAAAAATTTAGAACCAAAACAAAAAAGAGACAATTTTAATTTTAAAAAAGGGAAGAATATACAAATAGAAAGAAAATAATACAATTTTCTTACATATTATAAACCTCTTCTAGTAAAACTGTGTGTTTTCAGTGAGTCATTACCAATATTTACAGTCTATGGTCATTACAGAATCTCACCACCTGGTCTTTACTATGTCGCCCTCTAGTGGCTTATTTGTGTCTGTACATACACAGAGACCTTCAGCGGCATTTTAACAGGGGTATAGTTAAATTTAAATATCCTTAATATCCTGCTCTATGTCCCTTTGGTGTGAGGGAGTTTTTTTGGTGTAATGAGATGCAAAAACCGCAAGTTTAATCTGATATTTGTTAGAGGCATTAAGAAAGTTGTTCGTCTCCGGCTGCCATGTGATCTCTTAGCCGAACCCAGGCAGAATGTCAACCGTGATATGTAACCCGTTCCCCGGTAAGAGACACCCCCCTTCCACGGTGTCGTCCAACTGAGCTACAACACGTCGACTTTCTTGTGCAGCTGGGGTTCCCCCTTCTCTTAAAGTTGGTCAGACTGTCTCCAGCTGGAGTTTTCTACTGAAAAAGTGAGACTCGGCGGGGGGCAACATGCGCTCCTTAGCGGGACTGGCTGCCATTATGGTGGCGGCAACTGTCTACCTCTACCTGCTGTCGACTCATCTTCCCCCGGGACCCAAGCACGACGAGCCGGGCGCCGAGGGGGAGGACGGGGAAGTCCAGGAGTACAGGTACGGGCAATGGGACAGGGCAATGCAACTTTAAACACCGAGTAGAAACTTCCATGTGGAAAAGTGCATAAGAAAACCACAGTTGTTGTTGTTGTTGTTTTTTACAACGAATAAAGAAATCCTGAACATTAGATTAATTCCTACATTAATCCAGGAGATGAGTGAATACACAGTGAGAGCAAACTAAGCTCTCACAAATCAATTAAAGTAGCTCAAGGTTGGCTAGAAATTAGATTTACAGGGGGCATAGATGATAGAATAATCAATAAACTGGGATATAAATGGTCAAAGTAGGCTGAAGTAGATTTCACTTTATTATCAAGTCTTTGATGCAGAAAGCAGTGGGGGAAGAAGAGCCTATAAAACAAAGAAGCCTATTGCTTAAGCCTACTTCTCATTAAGAGATACTTGATTGACTTCTACATTTTAAACTGTAGTTTTTACTTAAAACATAATTCATAACACATTAATAACAAAAGTCTCTTGAGGTTATGCCCAAAATTATATAAACTCCATTAAAGTGATACAAATGTATACTATTAATATAATCCAATGGTAAATGATATGTTTTTGATGGGGTTTATCTGCATGGTGGATATTCCCAAATGGCTGTAACAATTGCACTCAGCCAAAATAGTGAAACTTTCCCCCAAGTCTCTTGTGTTCCCCTTATCTCTATTCCCTTGCATGTCCTAAATGATGGGTTTCCAATCTGTTTGGCTTGTGAAACCACTTCAATAAATGAATGCATTAATAAATAAATGAATGTCTGTGTATGACACAAATACATGAGCTATTCTCCCTCCCTGGTTTCATTTGGAACATCCTTAATCCCTAAAAGAAACAAAATAAGAGGACAGTCGAAAAAGGTCAGAATATATGGGAAGAAGATACTGAGTGGTTGTGATCCCTCTTATTAACCTCCTGATCCCATCCCTCAAGAATGGCAGCCAAAGGTCATGTGACCCTTCAATGTTTACCTTTCTTTTTCCATGTTAATATGCCTGAGTATGTTTTCTACAGAGAGAAAATATGAAAGGGATAGAATGAAGACATGAATAATACCAGTCTGCTTTACAGCTTGAATGGGTAACATAACTTCTAAAAATGAGTGTGTGCACGTCCAAGTGTGTTCTTGTGTGAGTCTGTGTGAGTTTGTGTGAGTCTGTGAGTCGCGTAAGTGGTATGTTGCAATGTGCCAGACGGCCATGTGTAAGGATGTCCAGGGATGATAGAATAACGCCGACCAAGACGCTCTGAGGCCAAGAGCAGTGTGTGTGTGTGTGTGTGTGTGTGTGTGTGTGTGTGTGTGTGTGTGTGTGTGTGTGTGTGTGTGTGTGTGTGTGTGTGTGTGTGTGTGTGTGTGTTTGCACCCACTAAACTGATATTACTCATATCATAGTGTTACTTATCAAGTCTTTTGCACATGGGCTGAGGTAAAAAAGTTTTGCCTTTAGATTAAACTTTTTTTTACAAAACTCATACAGTCCAACTATCAAAAGCTACAGATTCTATTTTAAAAAGCTAATAAAAACTGCACTCCATCCCTTTGGGACACATTTAAAAATACACATAAAAAATTGGATTTGAAGTGTCTAAAAAATGGAAATTCTTGTTTTTTTGTTTGTTTTGGATTTAAAAAAACAAAACAAAAAAAACTGAGAATCAAAAAAGACCAAGTACTTTGAGTTTTCTGTTGTATCTTTCATCACTAGAATACACTGATTTACACAATTCTAAAAGCATCATATTGGCTTAGTTATCCGTTAGTTCAGATGGGAGCCTCATTACAAACACAGTAATGCCACGATCACAATGCTAAAAACGTGTAACTCCTTTCATAATATGACATGCACAACATTCTTTCATGTTTTGTTGTAGCTGAAAAGTCCAGGGATGAACCTTTTCCAGTCTCCCTTCTGTGGTAAACACTCTTTAAAAACAACTGCTAGTATGAACTAAAAGCATTAAAGACACAGTGTGGGATTTCTGTCAGCACAAACACAAACAATAGATTTATTTAATGACATCATGGATTAGCATTGGATGATAAGAGTTGTCTTCATTCCTAAACAGCCACCATTTTTGATGTAAAATCTCTCATCTTCTCAGACAAGGTTAATAAACGTGACTTTTTGTCAAAGTTATTCATATTACATCATCAATCTAAGTCTGTTGTTCCCAACTGGTCTGACCTCAGGACCCACCACCGACTCCTTAATGAAGAATCACGACCCAAACCGCTTGTATCTTTCAACCAATGACATTTATTTTATAAAAAATTGTGCACTTTTGGCCTCAGACGGGAAAAACTTGTGACGGAACAAAAAATATACCTCGTAGACTTTTTGACACCACAAAATTTGCGACCCACTGAAAACAGCTCTGCAACCCGATGTTGGTTCCCGCCCCACCAGTTGAGAATCATTGATCTAAATGACATACCACCAGGTAACTTTCACAAACATTTACAGTAAGCAAAACTCCCTCCTCACTCTCTGATGTATCATCTAATGGCCCTGTAGGAAACAGGTGAGGCCGAGATAGTCTCTGCTAACTTAAAGAACATTCTGAATTGGTCTGTGTAAACATCATCAATATTAGAGACAGAGTAAGTACACAAATCACCAAAATAGATAACCTATGTCTACTCGCTTAAAGAGTAGGAAATGTTACACATAATTCATTTAGGTTATTTTGAAAACATGTTAATATTATTTAATGTCACCGAGTAGACCCAAAATGCCCCTAAATAATGAAATATCGGCAAGTAATTTCAGGCTTCTTTCAGAGCTAAAATGATTATTTTGTTGTCAGACAAATAACCAGTTAATCCTTTAAGCACTTTATCAATACTCCAGCATTTTAAATGTGAGGATTTGCTGCTTTTCTCAGTTTGATATCATATATGTAAATCAAATATGTTTTGGACAGCTGGTTGGACATCTGAAACAGTGAGGATGGAACATTTTCATTTGCTGTGCGTTACGATTTCACAGTTTTCAAGTTGCTAAAAGAGTTTTCTCAACAGTTAACCTGATACCACACAGCCCCATGGCAGTTCTATTAGTTGCTATTAAGTGACTTCATAGATGAAACCCCCTTCTCCTTGGGGTTTTTTTCCCTTTATATAAACACTGTTGTGTGTGTGAGTGTGTGTGTCTTTGTGTGAGTGTGCGTTTGTGTGTGTGTGTATGCTTGCGTGTGTGCGTACGTGCATGTGTGTGTGTGTGTGTGCAGGGTGTTTCTCTTGGGGTTATGTGTAAGCAAAATTAAAATTGCCACGATGACACATTTCCCTCTAAATACTGTACATACATTCATGCTAGTAAATATCCTAGCACTTAAAGCATCATCAACCTGCTGACCAATGGATGAACAGAATGTATGTCCACTGGCCAGTAGGAAGAAGCAATACTGAACGTCCAGCAGGTGGTTATGAAAGTAAGCATCTTGAGTTTCGGTGTGTGTGTGTGTGTGTGTGTGTGTGTGTGTGTGTGTGTGTGTGTGTGTGTGTTTGTTTGGAACCGTCTTCCTACCCTCTGCTCAAGTCTGCAGGCAGTGACGCTATTTCTGTCTCTGTATCAAATGTATCACGTTACCGTCCCACTGACAAACACACATACACACACACTGGCACATCAACACACAGAAACACACAATGTTGCTGCAATGTTGTCGTTTTTTTTATGAAATCTATTATTTGTTTCATGCAAATTAAAAATAATAAATGTTTCTCTTACAACTTAAGATGCTTAGATGAGTTTCATCTGCCTCACTCATTTAAAAAAGGTGAATGGATTAAGTTCATGTTGCTCCATAATTTATAGAGAATCAATTTGAAAATGCCTGGATAATTCACTTCCCTGTTTTTTATAATTAGTTACACTCTGTTCAATATGTTGCATAACTTGTTGGGCTCTTTCTGGCACAACATTAAACTGGTTTATTCTTATTTGACTCATCAACATCATAATGTGTCTTACCATGTAGGTTGAAGTTCCCTTCTGACCTGGATGAGCTGCGAGAGCTCGCTGAGATGCTCAAATTTTACAAAAGAGAGCATCATGGCTACGTGCTGCTGCTGTTCTGCAGTGCCTACCTCTACAAACAGTCCTTCGCCATCCCTGGCTCCTCCTTCCTGGTGAGACATTATGAATCAATCCAGCACATTTTTATTTAGTGCCAAATCTCAACAAAGATGTCTTCATGACCCTCATGAGTCAAATACCCAATGTGTGATGGATGCTAAGATGATGCCATCTAGGGCAGCCAGGTAGCATTAGATAAAGTGTCTCTGAGGTGTCTTGAGCAAAGCACAGTAACCTCAGCAAACCACTGAAACTAACTTCAAAGCTTGATCCAAAGGCAACTTGACTGGTTGAAGATCTTACTGAAACTAATTACTGAAACTAACTAAAAACTGAAACTACTGGTCACTCAATTCTTTATGTCTTTAAAGCAGGCTAGCTTCATTCATATTGATTGTCATCAGCAAAAAAAGGACGTTTTAAAATAGTATTATACATACATTACTTTCCAATTAGAGGAGGAAATGTTTTTTTCATAGCAAGATGGTAGCGCATAGCTGCAGCAGCTCTGAACTCACAGCGAATCTTAGATTTAGTTCAATCTTCTTATTTAGTCTGTGACGCTATCGCAGAGAGAGACTCACCAAACATGCATTTCTTTAACACCTATGATGAAATTAAGGTGTTTTATGTCTAAAGTATCCATATATGAGGTAAATAGAATCGGTCCAAGGACAGAAACTTGTGGAACTCCGAAACTAACTTTGGCAATCATAGAAGAAGTTAATGGCCTGATTAACTTTTAACATCAAAGCTCTGTGAACAAATCCTTCTTCCATTGTTCGATCATCCCTCCTTCAGAACATGTTGGCTGGTGCAACATTTGGCCCTTGGGAGGGTTTGGTGTTGGCCTGCATGCTCAGCACTTCAGGCTCCACACTCTGCTTCCTGCTCTCCTCGGCTTTTGGGAAGCAGCACGTGGTTCAAGTCTTCCCTGAGAAGGTGGCCCTGCTGCAGAGGAAGGTACGGTAGACATCTCTTTTGGGTAAATATGACTGATATTGTACACCAGTGCCAGCAGAGCGGCAGGCTGTGGCTTTTAGCTTTATAGAACAAAAAAATGAAACCAACAAGCAATTATCGCTATTAAAACCAAATCTTCCCTCAGTTTTTAAAGCAGTGTAAGTACTGTAGCTTCATGCTGTCGTGTCAGCATCTCTATATTTGCATGAACAAAAAACAACCTTGTTAGGATTTTTTTCTGCTTTTGTCTTCCTTCCATCTCCTTTCCTTCCACGTTTGCCCTTTTGTTATCGTTCCTCTTTCCTCCCCCTGTCAGGTAGAGGAAAATCGTAGCAGTTTGTTCTTCTTCCTGCTTTTCCTTCGTTTCTTCCCCATGACACCTAACTGGTTCCTTAACATCACTTGTCCTGTCCTCAACATCCCCATGCCTATTTTCTTCTTCTCTGTGTTGATAGGTGAGACAACACACACACCCATTTAAAACACACACACACACACACACACACACACACACACACACACATACAACACTATCAGCCAAAGAGCCTGATAACTTAGCTGTTTAACTTCTCTCTTCAGGTTTGATCCCCTACAACTTCATCTGTGTCCGTACGGGCTCCATGCTCTCTGAGATCTCCTCTCTGGATGATATCTTCTCCTGGGGGACACTGGCCCAGCTCCTGGCCATCGCCCTCATGGCTCTCCTACCCGGAGCGCTGATCAAACACTTCAGCAAAGCTCACCTCAAGGTGGACGGCATAGACAGTAATGGACCCAGGCAGGCTGATGTCAAGCGGGACCGGAAAAGACAATGATTGTGGCATGATAGAGGAGTCATGTGGTTTGGGCTCGTCCAATGGTAGACATGTGGCCATTTGTCCCCTAGAGCCTCTTGAGGGATGAAGTATAAGTGTGATCTGTTCTGAACGTTTGTAAGTGTGTTAAGGCAACTTGACACCAACCTTAGAGAGTCTATGTTTCCCACTTCGAACGTCATCACACAGGTACAGAGTTTCAGGGAGATCTTCTGAGAGGGCCCTAAAGACCCTTGGATTTACAATGAAATAAGGTCTTAACATTTGAAGCTGAATGGATTCTCTACAAAATGCTCGGTAGTTGAAATTCTGAAGGCAATACTGTAATAATAAATGGTGTTAAATCACCTTGGTCGTCTTGAAATGACACTTTAGAGGTGCTAGCACTGAGAAAGGACCCTTAAACACAATTATTCTGTTAATTTATTTTCTGATCTTCAAGCCTAATTGTAACTTTCAAAAGGTAATTTCCATATTGGGGAAATGTAATACTGTTTTTACAGACATGATCGCTGTGATCTCAGTGAATCAGTCAGCGTACTGCTGCCATACAGTCAGTTTCCATCCCAGGGCTCGCCACAGGCTGAAAGTTGACAGCGTTTAATTGTGCACTTTGATGATCTGCCTTTCAACATAACGTCAGTTGTAAATCTGACCCTCTTTCCAGTGTGCTGCCACTTTGTCAAGTTATCACCAGAGCTTTGAAAGCAATTTTGTCCCACTAGACCCCCGCTGTGAAGAAACCAGTGGTGGCTCAAACACACTAGATGTCCTCCATGTTCTTTGTTGATTTTAGTCTGCTGCGGTTTCAAGAGAACAGACAACTAACCACAAAGACAATCATGTTTCAATCTGTATTAATGTTTACTCACTAACTCTGTTTGCTGCCAATACTTTTTCAGGATCGACATGGAGTTTTTTTAAGCACATTGTTACTCTTTAAAGTTTTGAGTGTGAATCCGTCTTTTCCTAAAGCACTTGAACATGTGTCTTAATGTAGCGGAGGCTGTGTCACAGAGGGGTTTACTGCAGCTCTGTGAAGATCTTCTAATGATGGGCTCAACAAAGACAGAGAGATAGAGCACACTGTTGTAACAGACTTTTAGAGATACTTAAACTGTGATTAAAGGCAGGGTTGGTCATTTTCGAAAACTCGCATGATTTTGAAAGTAGCATTCCCTCAGTGCTCCGTCTAGTACACCCACCCCTCCCCTCTGTGCTCCCTCAAAAGCCACGCCCCTCCCTTAGATGCATGAGCGGCGTTGCTCCAGAAGAGCGGGATGTAAACGCTAAACTTTACTACAATACATGTCAAGAAAAAGACTATTGACTACTCACAATGGCCAAAGACAAACTCACAGTGTAAACTCCGTCATCGTTAACGCGCTTTGAGCGAGGGCTAGTGCAGATTGGCACCTCGTGGCAGACATTGGTCAAAGTTTTCACATGCTAACAACGGCTACAGATGACGGATTTTCCTCATTCCTTTTTCAGAGTTATGAGTTATTAATGTAAGTCAAGACCTAAAGAGAATTTCAACCAAAATCTTATATGAATCTGGAGAAAATTACCAACTCTGCCTTCAAGTTACTCTGCAATTGAAATCTTTTATTTTGATACAATCATGAGAAGATGGCGTCTTTTACTCTTGTTATTACGAGGCCTTTTACTGGGAGTGCTGTTGCACTTTGTCTTTTGCTTTCAGTTAAACTGAGTCATTGTTGAAGTTAACTTGTTTGGAGTTTAACATTTTTTTAAGTGAGTGTTTAGCAGAACAGATATTTTTTATATAGAGAGACGAGTTTTAAACTGTACCTCCTGATTTAAAAAAAAATAACACGAGTTCGCTCCACATTCAGGATGGTTGTCGATTGACGAAACAAAGGTTTTTATAGACACTTTTCTTATGTAGAGTTTAAAGGTTCATCATCATTTTAAGATGATCTGTTTGTTGTAGTTAGGACTTTCAATCCTTTATTATTATAGCTGAACAGTACAGTTGAGGATTATCACAGTCACAGAGTGGAGTCACGCTTTATGTGTGAGTGTAGCAGCTCTTGACACAAACAGTGAAAACAATGATACGGAGGGTCATGAAGGTCGGACAGCAACGTGCAAAAGGCTGCACAGGAAGTCTTAATAAAACAATGAGGGGCTTTGTTTAAGTGACAGGAAGATTTTTTTTTTTTACCAGATGCAAAAAAAATACAAAGTAAAAAGATAAAAATACTCCTGTCATGGTGTTATCCATTATGTTGTGAACAATGTTTGCTTGTCTGTCAAATCTGTATGACTGGGATAAATTTATGATTTCTGCTGACCTTTGCTTTTACCGGATTATTTTTTTATGATTGAATTACACATGTGTAGGATGCAAACAGTAGTTTATTTGTGCCTTTGTCATGGTCACACAGTCATTGACCCTGATTGATTTACAGCAACAAGACGTCCAAAGTAACACTGAACGTGTGAAACAACAGCACACAGTAACTCATATTCAAATCCCTCTTGTTCTCTCTCAGCGCTTTACAACACTTAAAAACACACACCACACGAAGAACTCAAAGACACTTTTCTTCATGCACACACACACACACATACACACACACCTTCACATTGGCACAGGCAGGCACTAATCTCATTAAAACAACTCTGTCAATTTAACAACCTGACGTGAATCACATGAACTAAACGTGGCGTTGGTTGTTGGAAGACAGACAAATTTGCACATGTAAAATTAGTGATAAAGAAAATTCTTTTTTTTTTTTTTAATCGAATCCTTTAGGGCTCAAATGATGGTGAAGAACTTCTTTGAGTGTTATGGAAATAAAGCCAGTAACATTTGTCACATTTCACACAGGCCTGCTTACACACATTAAACTTAATAGTTACAAAAACAATAAAAAGCAGCAATTTAACAGGCAAACAATATGTGTAGTGTAGTGAGTGCTGCCAGTCGCTCAGTGTGAGCTGAACAATCTGTAAACATATTGGTTAGACCTACAGCCTTCATAAGCTTTATCCTCATACGTCAGTTCTGAGTTCAGGAAAGTATTGGCAGAGCTTAGGACAGTAATCATGACTTTATCAGTGTTACCTAGTAGCACAAATGTAACATCAGCTTTTCAGCAGACAGGTGTTTGACATAAAGGATTCTTGTGCTGTTTTATGTTCTGAAGGTTCAAACAAGCTTAATTCAACAAGTGTCTTTTGAATTGGTCACCCAAAAAAATGCTAGAATTAAGAATCTGGTGTACAAAAAATGTATTAGTGCTTCCTAAACAAGAAAAACTTGAAATTTAGGTGTAGCTATGACTACGTTTTTTTAATCAAACTTCTGCCAGATTTGGCGGTAAAGGCTTCTCTGCTTGCTGAATAAAGCCAATTAGTGACTTGGGAAAAAAAAAATCAGGCTTAAGCCAAGAGTTCCAGGATTACAGCAGCAAAACAATAACACGATGCAAAGCTAACAAATATCTTCCGCAGCATCATCAGAAGACAGAAATCCAGTGTGTTGCCTGTGAAGAATGTTATTATTCTCTCAGTGCAAACGGTTCAGTGCTGAGTAGAAGTCTCATCTGCTTTGAGTCATGCAAGTTTTTTCATCATGGCCCAGAGTGGTTACAAAAATACACCGTGCAAAAATATCCAATGCTGAAATATCGGGCGGATTCAAGATGATCTTGGCTTTCAGTGAGCAGCTCTCAAGGCTTATGGATACATTTTAGCGCAATGTCACACAAAATAAAACAATATTTGGCGACTACAGGCTGATGAATGGCAACTTAATTGTCCTTCACACATTGAAGATGTGTATCCTCATTAAGGAGTTGACTGGCTAACAGGTATCCAGAAAAGAGGAAGTTTAAAATCATACAGCTGATATAAAAGCAAGCTCAGTTCTGAGCAGTGAGACCATGTTTGATTAAAGAGTAAACAGAAGTGAAGATTTAGTCCAGAGTCAGGAGAGGGGAGAGCTTCTTTCTTCTTCATCTCCACTTATTCTTTCTCAACTGTCTCAACAACCGCTTTGACAAGGAAGCAGCTTCTACGAATACACCACTGAATATCAACCTGAAAACCACTGATTCAACCAGGACAGACTACTTTTATCAGGCTAGTTATGAGTCACTTAGCCATGACCTAACCAGTATCTGGTGGTCGTTGAAGAAACTGCACCATAAGGCACTTCTGCTTTGGTTTTGACACTGGGTCATGGTGGTTGCAGCTTTGTACCTCCATCTCAATTCCTCTTAAATGTCATTGGACCTCCCCTCCCCTTTCTCCTCCCTATGTGAAGATGTACAGCGCAGTGGGATCATCCCTGAAACTGCCCTGACCTCCTATGTGGGCAATGACTCTTCCCTGTTGAAGTCGAACACAATACAGTTTGGCGTCGGTTCGCCCAGCGCACAAGCCCCGCTCTGTCAGCCAGTCCACCAAGTCACTTCCCCGAAACACGCTTTCCGAGCAGGACTGGGGATGCTGCTGGAGATGGGTTGAGCTTGAAGCTAGACCATGCTGGTGTGGGTGGGGATTAGCCGGGACCTGAGCTTTGTGGTCACTGTCAGGATCAAGCTTGGATCCAGATGAAAGGGAATACTGGCTGCAGGATTCAGCTGGAACTTGATTTTGGTGCAGATTCTGCGGCTCGAGGTTTAGTTTCTCCTGAGGATCCTGATGCGGGTCAAAGTGCTGGGGCTGATTTGATGGGGAATGTCTCAAAGCCTTCTCCTCCTCCTCCTCCTCCTCCTCCAGTCCTCCTCCAAACCTGTTATTATCAGAGGAAGGATTCACCTGTGGAAGCGCTCACACTCTCCCCTGAGCCACTAGGGGATGATAAAGGAAAAAAGAGGGAAAGGACGGGCAAAGGGAAGCATCGTGGAGGAAGGAGAGGACGAGGAATTCAAAAGGAGAAAGAGGAAAGAAAGAGTGTAAAAGAAAAGGAAAGCATTAAAGAATCCTAAAAAAAGACTCAAAGTTAGTAAGGTTTTAGGAGACATTTGTTGTAGAGTTAGGTAGTACAGTGGCTACATTTTATGTCCAACACCAGTAACATCATTTTGTCTCAATCTGCTAACTGTTAAAAAGTGGACAAGTGGAAAATTAACTCTTTAGGTTAGCTTATTTTCTTTTTTTCTCCTACTGGTTCATGACTTTTACTACATCCTGCATAACACTGACCAGGTTCAAATTTAAGTCAAACACTTATAATCCTAATCCTCATCATGTTCGACAAACAATGACGAAACATACAGCTAAACATATAGAAAACCTTTAAATGGCTCAAAATGAATTTATTTGAAGAAAAATAATAACTTTTGGAGAACATCGGTTATTGCAGCAGAACGGTTAATCAGAGATAAATGCAAAGAGGATGTAGAGGAAATTATAGGAAAGTCTGAGGGGAAATACCAACCATTATAAAGACAAAACAAAGTACAAATGTACATTGTTATTTGCCTTCCACAGGCTTACATGATGTGTATTCCCCCCCCCCCCCATATAGAAAATTAAAACAAGCTGTAAATATGGAGGGAATCTGAACATATGAACATGTTCCTTTCAGAGAGAGGACGAAACATGCTGTATGACACATGTAAATGCTCACACACAGAGTAGTACTTGTACCTGCGAGTGTGCACAATGTCTTGTACACATTGATCTTTGTGGTAGCGGACAAACTGGGTACAGGTGAGTCTGACCTCCTCTGGTACACTTGAAGGACTTAAATCATCGACGTCCCTGCCCTGCCACAGGCCCAAAAACCTGAAACAGACCCCCCCCAAGCATAAAGACAATTCTTGTTCTGTCGATCCAGAAACCTTAATGTACAGACAAGTCAGACAATGCACCAACTGTCAACAACTCTCACCTCTTTTTAAAGGGCAGCAGGATAAGGTGTCTGTCCAGACCAAAGATGCCAAATGACAGGAAACCCTGCGCCCATAAAAACATTATTCATTACATCCTGTTGTAGTTACTGCTGAACACAAGTTTTGTTTTATACACGTGTGCATGAGGTTACCTGTCCATAATTGGCCACAGCACAGAAGAACTGGAGTTCAAGGTAAAGTCTTCCAGGATCTTTGTTGAACAGCCACCATAGACAGCTGGACAGGTTCTACAAACACGACGACACAGCAGTGACCAATCAGACATCAGGACAATTGTCATAATAAAGCTATGAGTGTGCTATTATTTTTGTCATGGGCAAAAATCTAGGTGATAATAACAATGATGTGTATTATCAGCAGTTTCACCACGTTGTTCTCATGGAGTCTGTTGTTATTGACAGAGACGCACAGCCCCACCAAACTGTGGAAAGTGCCTGTGACACTTTCCTTTCATCAGGCTCATCAGCATCTCGTCTGTGAAGAGTGTCAATGTGTGCCTTCTCCTTTTTCCCCCTCCTGCTAATTTGCTGATCACATTCAGACTTGCACAGAGACATACAGAAAAACACACGGGCACACTTAACGAGCATTCAACTCTCACCGCCAGCAGACTGACACTGAGGAGCAGACAGAGCAGAACGTGTCTGACTGTCTGTTTATCGTCAGTGGGTTGAAGCCCGGTGGCGGCAGGTCCAGCGGCTGCTCAGAGGTGGTAGAGCCCAGTGTCTGCCCGTCTAACAGCGCCCCACTGTGGCCTTGAAATAAAAACACAACGTTGATCAACTCCACTCTGATTGACGTTAAATCAATGATATATTCATTCTGTTTTAAATCACTGCAAAGCTTTTAACACAGTTAATATGTTTCAACTGACTTTGTTTTTCCTACTTTTAACAGCACAGAAATACATACCAGTACTCACAGTGGAGACGCGCTGCCACATAAAGTATAATTGTGTAAAATAAATATAGATAATTCATATCTAAGAAGCAGGCCATTGTCAGTGCCTTGCTATAGTTTCTGCATTAGCTAGATTGATATCGATACATTACAGTTGAATAGCAGGTCACACAATAGAAATAACTCAAATTGGAAGGTATCATATTTGCGTTTGTTACCTGTGCTGTTGGGGTGCTCCCTCTGCGTGCTTGCAATCATATCCGGTAAGGACTGGAGAGGAGAGAAACCGTTGTGGTCTGGTATCACAACAGAGGGGTAAAGGTAAGCAGAAAGCTCAGCAGACAGAGGGCTGCTTAAAAATCCAAGCCCACAGTATATTACAACAGGGTTTAAGCACAGACTGGAGTCACCTGAGTTGATGCTGCAGGCAGGCGAATTTGCTGTCAGCCGTTGTTGTGGTTGTTGCGAGTCGTCTGTGCCACCAGGGGGCCTCAGCTCATTATTGCCTGTTACAGCAGCTCTGCTCAGGGCCTCATAGCCTCTCTGCTCCCTGTCTCCCTGGCTGAGGCCCATCAGAGATATTGCACCGAGCCCCAGGCTGACTGCAAGCACCACTGCCGTGCTAATGATCTGTAGGGAGACACGCAAAAATGAACAGAACTTCCAGGACTACTTAATGAGGATTCTGATCGTATATGATTGCAAGGTTTTTTTTTATGTTTAATTATTATATATTACAGATCTTCTTCATAGATTTTGATAAGAAATAAACCGATTAGAGCAGAGCAATGACAGGAGACTTTACTTTTCTTTTTAAATATAATACATAAAATAAGCTTTGTGAAGAAAAAAAAAAGTGATGCAATTGAATCAAACATTTGTCTAACCTGTGCCCTGCCATAGAAAAAGGCAGAATCGATGGTCTCAGTCCTTTCCCCAAATATTAGAAGGCTTCCGACCATAAGGAAGGGAACCCTACACACACACACACACAGAGTAATAATTAGTCAATGTAATTATTACAACAACAAATACTTCATAAGGTTTCAGAGAATGGTTCTGAGGTGTTCCCGCATGCTGACCTACCCCCAACCCAAAACCATGAATACTCCAGGTCGGAGTCTCAGCAGATCATCTCTGTCAGTCAGAGCCAGACACAGAGGGATCAAACCTGAACAACAGAACAAAGCTTATTTTCAGTCAGTAGTTGCACACACCACACAACAATTCATTTTTGAGTCAAATGTTGTCTAATTGATGGTAACTGACCCGTCCAGATGTAGGTGCTGTACAGAGAGCCATAGAGCAGCGTGAAGGTGATAATTCTGCCAATCAAATTGCCCTCTTGTTTCACCAAGACGTTCCACAGGATCATACTGACACATACCAAGAACTAGAGCAAAGATAGTACTGCAGGTTAGGAAGGCAAAGAAAACGTGAATGTGAGGTGTTACAATTCTTGAGAAAAAAATGAACTCCAAATATCATTCACACTAAACATTACTGGAGAAGCACATGCTCCTCATGACACCTCAAGCTGTTTCAAACTTTGAATCTCTTCCGCTGTGACTGGAGACTGACCTGAGCCAAGAAAAGATTCAAAGAAAAGAGGTGCGGAAGTCTGTTGAATTTTCTGCTGAGCAACATCACCACTATGGTCCACACCTGAGAGAAGAAACAAGACACTTTATCACACATTTATTTTACTCTCCTGTGTGTTCATAATAATTCAGTTTTTGGGAACAGTTATTGAGTTTACCTTCATGATAAATGGAATCACTGGGGAAATTCAAAAAGATATAAACTTACCATTGCTAACAGGCTGACAATGCTGATGTTGAAGCTGACGTTTTCAAGTTCTGTCACCAGGGGGGTCGGGTCCATCAGGGGGATTGTTAATAACCAGGCTGAGACATACATGATGGGTGCAGACAGAAACGTACTGATGACCATCCCGGATGTTACCTGTAAGAAAAGAAAAAGGACATTTTAAAACACAAGGCATAAAACAGAGGTCAAATGAAAGTGAAAAGTATTTTTGGTGCATTTCTTTAAAATATATTGTGTGCTGGAACTGACACTAAAAACTGAATGAGAATGTGGACATTATAAATGGAAAAATCACAGGCTTGGTTGTGGTTTCCATGTAGCATGTCCATGCTTTTCCTTTCTAACATTACATGTAACTGCAGGAGAGGAATGTAACCAGGCCGTGTCATGGTGTCAAACTATTGATACAGTTTGAAGAGTTTAACGTGGATTTCTGGCAAGGCATTAAAAAAATGTCACAGTTTTTGTATTTGCATGTCTGTGTGAGATTCTTTTATAGCTTACTTTTCACATGTGACCTGACCAGGGCCCAGTTGTTCAGATCACATCATCCAGTTTTGACTTTGATCTGGTTCAAACCTTCAGTAATTTTTTGTTACTTTAAAGCAGGATTGGGATCACATTTTATATATCACATGCAAAGGGGAGGTAGAAAAAAAGGGTTTAACTGATAAATGATAAAGTAGAGAAAACTGGCACTAGGTTAGCGTTCAGTGCAGATGTGTTAAAAAAAAAAAAAAAAAAGAAGGGACTTGGATATATGCTGCGAACCCAGTCCTACGTCTGTTAAATCATATGAGGGGGGGTGTTATTGTTTTATGTCCCAATAACAAACAAAAAAGCTTACTGCTAGCCCATGCATCTTTGTTGTTCACATTGTAAGAAAGCCATTTTCAAAAATTGCTGATTAAAAGGGACAGTACCATATCAAAAGCACTCACCACTTCTAGCTCCATGTTGTAGTGGGCAGCGTAGATGGCCACACTCGGAGCAGTCGGGAAGACTCCATATAGGAAAGCAAAGTTAGACAGACTGGTGTGGTTGGCGCTCGTGCTGTTCACTCCGACATCCAGAATATCAACCATGTCTTTACAGACCAGAGGCATCACCAGGCTGGAGGCGGACACAGAATAAACCATTAAACTGCATCAAAAATAATGTTGTTTAAGTGCTTTAGTTTAAGATTCAAAACATTTTTGTACAAAACACTGATAGCTTCACCAATTATTCGATTTGTTTTATGGAATTGTCCATGCAATGAATACCATGCTTGATAACTGTTGTTTTTACAGGTTATTATGGTAAGATTCGTACATATCAGTCCAAAAATATAATACAACAGCAATGCAATGAAAACGTTTCTAGAAGCTTATAATGCTTTGATTAATCTGAGGTTTTATAACAGAGGGGTTGCTTAAATCCTTTTTTTTTTTTTTAAGCCTCCTTGGTAGTGACGGACTGTATTGCATAAAAGCGTTTTAATAAAACCCCTCTTAATCGATGTACTGTACCTTAATATAGTAAGAAAAAAAAGAATATAAAACAAGTTAGATATACTGTAGTGTAATACACAGCATATACAGTATTACAGGCCATCCCATAATTTTCTCACACATACATCATCCCACTGTGACTCACAGTTTGGCTGTGATGAGGAGAATCAGGGCCACTCCTGTGTCTCTGGTTAGTTTTTTAAGTTGGCCAACCTGCCACAGAGACAGAGATATCACTTCACAATGATGATGACACTTCAGACACTTGTGGTTCATATCGGTAGAAAATTAGACTTGTAGAATAAGTACAAAGGATTCAACATAAACAAACTTACCATAGATAGGCCGAGATAAAACAAGGCTGCGCCTCCAAAAGAGTTAGCCAGGCCATCTATGAACTCAGATAGCACAGCAGGGATCTGCTGGGCCAGGGCAAAGTGGGCTATGATGCCCACTATCACCATGAATACGACTGGGTTCTTCAGCACCTGCAGAGGAGACAGAAAGTGTGGTGGATTAAAAAGAAATCATCACACCCAGCAGTTGATATCTTCAAGTTAGTCATAAAAATGACTGCAAACCTTAGAATGTGAGGTTGTATTCACAAAATGTGTAATTTACTTTGAAAAAGCCTGTATGTAGCTCACCTGTAGGACTACAACTCCCACAATGCCAACAGTGCTGTGATGTGAATGGCTGGCCTGCCTCCACTTCTGCACCTCACAAAGAGCAAAGCCGATGGGATTGAGGATCATGAGGGACACGGGGGCGACAAGATAGATGTACTGGAGGTACTCTGGGTATGTGCTCCGATACAAAGCATCAACTGGAAGAACAGGGCAGAGAGAAAGAGAGACGCATATATTTGTGTATTAAATAAAGTGTTTTTTCTTAACTGACAATTTGTATGGAAGTCTACGTCGGGATTTTGTATCAGCCTCACCTATAGGGTATCCTAAGGCAAAGTCATTGCTCTGCGTAGCAAAGATGGCATACAGACCAGCTTTGCTGTATCTGTTGTCTGGACTGGCCACCATCAGAGTCAGCACACACACCAGCACAAACACTGTCACCTACACACAGGAGGGGCGACAACAACGCCAGGTCTTGTTGAATTGTTATCACATTCCACATGACATGATTTCAGAGAGTTCTGCACTTTCTGTTAAATATTAACAAGCACATTTGTGAAAGAGATGCAAAGACACCGACCTTGGCGACCAGCACACTCCAGAGAAATGCCCAGATCACATCTCCAAAGTCCAGCAGCACCATGTTTTTAAAGAGCAGCGCTGGAAGAGCAAACTTAGACACAAAGTTCCCCAAACCCTTCGCCTGGCTCTCTGTGATGATATCTGCCCTGTAGGCAGAATAATGTCATTTTTGAGGGTCAATCAAAGCCTCGCTGAGCATTCTCAGGTACAGATAAAACCCTCAATTCTTTTTTTTTTTTTTCCTCTTGGGACTGTTTTTGCAGATGCCTACCTGCCAGCTATGTAGCCACACAATATGATGCCAAAGCACTCAAGCAGAGCTGGGAAGAGCTTGTCGATGGACATGTGGGGCACGGCAGCAGAGCCTCCAAGGGTATTGTGGGATATGTTTTTCCCGTGGATCAGCACGTAGTTGTTGGCAGTCTCCATGGTGATGATAAGATGAGATCAGAGTGATGAAGAGATGCTGGGGACTATCTCTGGAGCAAGGCAAGGATGAAAAACATTGAGTGACAGGTATTCAGTGAGAAGAGATTAGGTAGAAGTGTGAAGTCATTTTATACAGAATATCAATGTCTTCCCGCTGGTGTAAACTCAATCAACACCAATGTGGATTGTGGTGATATAAAAGAGTATGAGGGTCTGAAGTAACGGGATCAGGGTCCCTGTTTACGCCTCTGAGCGTGAACATACCGTCAGCTGACTTGGCACAGTGAAGTCAACCAGCTTCACTCAGGAGCTTGCTTTTATGAAAACACAAGGCAGAAAACTAAAACATATCCCGTAAAGCTCTGTTCTCCATGACAAAGCCCTTGTCATTGCCAGGTTAAGGTTAGCTAGGTGCATGCTAAAAACAGAGAACTGTTAGTTAAATGGGAGGTCAAAGTAAGCTTCAACCATCCGACACGGATTTATGAAATTATCTAATAACAAATTATGTTTTACCTCGGTTACTCCTCAAACCATCTTTAAACAGAAATGGACGAAGTTCATGTGTCTTGCAGGTCGCAAAGCCCGTGTTTTTTTTTTTTGTTCGCTTGTGTGAGAAGCTCTGGTCCTGCATCTGACAGCTGCGTCGACGTGGTGACGCCCTGGGAAAAAAAAAAAATGGCTGACAGGTGAATCAACCAATCACAGCCGAGGTACGCTTTACCCTCCTGCTCTGATTGGATATAGCGCGCTGCGTGACGCTGCATCCTATGCGCTGCATTCATGTGATAAGCGGAATGATAAAATCTCTGCGGACCTCTCTGAACTCCATGCTCATGTGTTTTGTAGTGGAAACGCAACTGCGAGTGTTAATGTAATGTAATGGGACATAAAAGGAATTCCAAGGATAGTAATGAAACCTGACGAATTTGTAATTTGTATTTTATACACGTCGAGTTGAGAAGCAGGGTCGATTATATAAGCCTATAGTTAGTGAGAATTAGAAGAAGCCTCTCCCACTAATGCATCATGTTTCATGGAATAAACGGTATAACTCTAGAGCCATCTGTGACACAGTGCCGGGTGTAAGTCAGATGCACTAGCCAATAAATTCTGTCTTTTTAAGTTTTTAATTATATCAATCAAAACTGAAGTTTACCGCTGTGAGCAGGATTTTTACAGTGGAAACCCCATTGGATTCGAACCCAATGCCTCCACTCAGCCACCACAGAACCTAGCAGCAACATGTCATCGTCCTTTCTTGACCTTAAAAGCCTTTGAGACATTGCTCCTTTCCAAAAGTTTTCAGTCAACACTTGAATCATATAAATACATTATTTTTAATTTATTGTGATAGTGTTTTCATATCCCAAATATTTTTTCCACATGCTTGTGTACATATCAGTCCTGTCAATTCTTCTCTGATATTTCTTCAGCTTCGTTCTTGTTATTACTATTTATGTGATAGTACATAAGGAGCAGTGACAAGGGTCGAATTTATCACATGTTCACACCATAGGCAAAGAGTATATATGTATTATCATTTACAGTTTATGGTTCACACATATTTAGTAAAAAACAAACAGATAAATCCTATTTCATTCATTTGAAACAAACTGTAGCTAGCTGGCTCTAATTCATCTCCACTACCCTCAAATTCTCAAGTATGAGGCAGTTTAATAATGTGTGAACACTAAGATGTTGAACAGTCAGTCAATAACCTTTGCATATTTTCAAAAGAGGTATTACTTTACCATCACTTTTGTATGTTAGAACTGAGAATAATGATGATAATAATTGATTGTACAGCTGCACAATGGTGAGAAAATCAAGACAATCCTGAAACATTATCGACAAGTGTAACACTTTAACTCTGGAGAATTCTGATATAAAAAGAAAGCTAGCAAAGCCAGTCTTTTATAATATGACACACTGTTCTATCAATGTATTGTCCAGCTTTATTGCACAAACATGTTAACAATGCATATCTCTTATCTGATAATGTAAAAAATGGATAATGCAAAATAAATCACTACCTTTGGATACTCACATTACAATTCAACATGTTTGTCTGTAGTCAAAGTGAAGGTCTTTATACAAGAATATCAAAGCTCTTTAAAAAGTCAAATACAAGCAGATTTAAAGCAAATACCTTCAAGCATTTATTCATCCATGTTAACTTCCCTATGATTGTCTTGAAGATGACCAGCACATGATAATACATCTCGAGACAAAGACTATTCAGAGTGGCGCTGGGGAAAGCATAATACTGGACATTACAGAAACATAACTTAAAACAATACAGCCCTTCAGTATCACTTGTTTCCTTCACCAATTACAGACACTGGTCCTTCATAACAAGTCGAGGCGGCGTTTAACTTAACAGCAAAATCTGAATACTGTCAAACACCATACGATGTCCTTTAAAACATCTCAATCAGGAACAATAAATGCACATTTTACAACCAAATAAAAAGTACCATTCAGTGGTTGCAATATAAATGCAAAGGCGTTAATATCCATAATGTGAAGGCACGTGTGGCTTCTGCAAATTCAACACCTGCACTGAAGCCGATAAAGAAGCGGAGGCACGGCAGGAGGTTTAGGTCATTTTTAGTTTGCTTGAACGATGCTGGCATTGAGACTCTACATTTACTTCAGCAGAGGTGATCCAACCTGACCATCGAAAAAAAAATACCAAAAATAATTTAAGGCACTTTAGGATAATTCCCATTACTCTTTGAGCAGCCTGGAAATACCGTCCTGAATAGACAAAGGCACAAGGAAAGCACTGTGTACCGAAAGAGAGAATAAAGGCCTATCAGCACACCTTTGGAAGCCCTGCACTGATATCCTGCGACTATGTTCATCAAGCTTTACATAACTCTGAACTTTGTAAACAGGCTGCAAAATACTAGTTGTTGTTTTTTTTTTAAACTAAAAGTGCAGCTGGTTTGGTAAGATATAACATCTAGCAAGAAAAATATGAAATCCAACAAGCAGGAAGCATTGAAGTATGTCAAAGTAGTTTGAGGAGTAAATATGGATAAATGTTCAGTTCAAAATACTGTTTTTTGATGATCAGTGTCACATGGACAGCATGGATGCAACCTGAAAAGAACACATTATATTTGCACCTAGAGAAGTACATTTTTCCTTTTTTATCCGGACATAGTGTACCACAGAAGAAAAATAAAACGGCTTTGGTCAGGTCATTGAATGCTGCTTCAGAGGTGTTGTGTAAGTTTGTCCTTTTTCTTTGTCAACCGACTTTCAGATCCATTCTATACGCTGCAGTCCGGAGATGAACCACATTCCACAGATTCAAGCACAACGAGCGCGACAGTGACAGATGGAAGAGGGAAACAGAGAGGGGTTGTGCTTATCGATCACTTTTCTTCACCTCGGCAATGGAGGAAGCGGAGGAGCTCCTCTCTCCTTTTTACCAGAACCTGAAAAGAGACAAAAATAAAGAAAAGCTTGCAGTTTACTTCGCTGTCCTGAGGAGATTCCCACCACCAGGTGGCACTGTGTCATAGTACAGCTGAACTTTAAGCTGAATTCAGTTCAGAGATCATGTTTTACACAACTATCTGACAGCACATCTCAAAAAAGTAGTGGTCTATGTAATAAGGTTCATTATAGAAAAAAACATCTACTTAAATAAAGTGCATTTAATGATGACTTAACATCAATTTGTTTTGATCAGTAAACTCGTTTAATAGTGTCTGACTGACCTCTGCCGTCATTTTTGCCGATCTTGCTGGGGTAGGTTTTCTGGAACTGCACGTAGGGGTCAGGCGGCGGAAGATCAGACACAGGATGGAAATTGAATCGACTCTCCCACTCATCTGTTCAACGAGACAAACTGAGGTCAGTGTGGTTCCCATTCAGAATGACATTAACAACTTTTCTATATTTATTTAGGGAGAAGGGGTGAATGTGTTAAGAAAATATTGTGTAATTAACTTTTAAGGATCAACATGTAAGATATCTACTGAATTAAATCACAACATGACCTTCCTATTTGATCAGACATTAAGGAAACATGCCATGTTTAAGTGCTGGCTTCTCTGTCAACAACACAGCAGCCAGTATGTCCTCCTTCTAAGTTTCAATTCTGCTTCATCATGGTTTGTTTTTGTTTTGATCAGAGAAGGTAGGCAGTTTTAAGACATGGCGACGCTCGTGAGCATCGACTCTAGGGAGGAGGAGCGAGGGGGACGGCTCTCTCCAATGTTTTGAATTTGGAGTATCGACAGTACAGTACCGATTTGAAACGCTACGGGTCAGAGTTACATATTGTTCCTTTAAACTTTTATCATTACCTGATGTACTGATTGTCAAACAGGGTGTCACCAGTTTTTAGAAGCATTCCATATTCACAAATTATTGGATGGATGAATTTAACAATGTCAGACATTTAGGATCTCTTTTCACTTCTTGTTCACATTGCTCTCCAAATCATTCTTTGGTTCAGTGAGAAAACAAAACAAAACAGAAGGGAGGTCAGCGGGTTTCTCTGCAAAGCTGAACACATTGAAATCTCCGGTGGTTAAAACAACACTGAGGGCAACAGAATTATCTGCCATCAGAGTGACTACTGGCATACATGAATTCATATATCAGACAGCCATTATGCTGAATAACAGGGTTATTTTGTACTTCAATATACTGCTTGTACGTTGGATCCAGTCTTAATCATGGTCCAGCTGATTTCATTGTTCTCTATTTCCTGACAAATTAAACTATCAATACTTATAAATAAAGTGTATACCTTATCTGATTTACTCACCTTGTATCTGGTTGTGGTGAGAGTTTTGGAACCCGTTACCCATAGGTGGTGGAGGAGGGCCCCCCCCAACCCCCGGCCTGTCCGGAGGGAGGGGAGGTCTTCCGCCAGGTCCACCACGAGGGGGCTCCGGGCCTGGCCTACCAATAGGTGAAGGAGCTGGTGATGAGTTCACACTGCCCCCACCTATGCTACGGCCTGAGGGAGGAGGCGGAGGAAGAGGCCCTTTGGAGGAAGAAAAAACATTTTTAATGGCAGTTGAGGAAGAGAAAAGTGATTGTTTGTACGATACAGATCAATATTTTGAGTGCAATATTTACAGCTTCCAACAATTTATTTTCACAAAGGAGGCAAACACTGTCAACTTTTCTGATCATGTAGATATATATGGTCTGTAGGCAGTAATAATTGAATGTTAAATGTATCTCTCAAGGCAGCCCACCTGTGCGCGTTGAGGATTGGTTCCTTCCCAGAGATGGCGGTCTCTCGTTCGGTGGAGGAGGGAGAGGTCCTGCCCGACTATGTGGTGGAGCTGGAGCATGGCTGTCAAGCAGAACCTGAATTTTAATCTACAGTATGTGTCCACTATATGTCCCACTATATGAAGATCAAGTGACAATCACTGTACAATCCAAGTTTATTTATAAATGTCACAAAAAATGTTTAAGACTTTGAAACTCAAGGTCAATTCTATGTATTGTTAATATTAAGCCAGATGGAGCTAGAAAACTAAAGTTAATTTTACTTGTCTCCTAAGAAAACTAACTACAAGCTAAGCTAAGAGCAGTGTTTCCCTTACCATTATATTAGGGGGCGGCCCGCCTCCCCAACGGCACCCCCTGCCCCCCCTGAAGGTCAAGA